AGAATACAGAGCAGCAGAACAATGCACAGAAGTCAATATCAGAGAGGCTGAACAAGTTTTGAAAGCGGCTTTTGCTCCCTAACAGCTACAGATGACCACCAGCATAACCAGAATGACAGTGGCAGAGGATTCGAGCTCTACACTGCTGGCATGGGTGGCTACTCATCCATGAAGCCTGCACTTGGAGCTTGCACTGACAGCGCACCAGGAGAAAAGCTGCACTGTCAGTGGGGAAGAAAGATGAGGCATGCTTCATCATCAGAAAGTTCATCCCAGAGAAAACTGCTGTCTAGAGGTTTGCTAAGGAGAATCCAGTCCTGTTCCTGCTCTGAGTGTATCAGGTTTTGAAGGTTTTGTGCAAGCCTTGAAGTAATTTCCACTGCTAAATGTAAACAAGGCTTTCAGATAGTCCTGTGATGTCAGGATATAAAGACCAAATGAGATCCATTTACAAAAGCAGAATGAATATTTAAATAAAAAGCAGCCACCATCAAAAATTTTTTAAAAATGCTGTTTTGGTTAATGCAACATACTGTATTTCTGCCAACAAAGGCAGTTTCTGATCAGGACATGCTGTGTTTTCCTCTTGGGATTTTGCAGGCAGGGTGGTCTTCCAAGACGGGAAAGGGCTTAGTTAACATTACACATCTTTCATATATGCAGGCTGGTAAATGTAAGGCAGGCATTACAGCTGTGAGTTTGTCACCAAAAACTAAGCTGAAAGGAGACTAAGTACAGGAGATTGACAAGAATACGACCTAGTCACTCTCAACAACTTTGTTCTCCTTCGTAATAAAGCAACTTCTCTTGTATTTGTGCAGCCAGAATTCCTTGGCCTTTACAGTGGTCAGACAGAAAAGATAGAAGAAAAGGGATGATACAAAAAATGTCACAGTTAAAGTTTTATTAACTTGCTATAGGCTACAAAAGAGGACTGCAGCCTCCTTAAGCTACATTTGTTTATTTTGATAGGAAGAACACTTTAGCACTGACTGTACTTCAAATCACAAAATGCAAAGTCAATTTTGGAAGCAAGAGCTACTCTAAAGAATCAACCACATGTTCAGGAGGAGATCTGAGCAGTTGGCAAATCAAATAGACTTCACTAGAACAACATACTGCTTCTATTTGAAAAAGCATCCTTGGTCAGTGCGTGTTTAAACCCAGTGAGACCTGAGCAGGTACTTGAAGTTAAACATACACTGAAGTCTTTTTCTGAATCAGATGCATATGAGGAAATACTTATCAGTTGGAATATGGTATTTGTCTTCTGGTTCATCCCTTTTTCCTCCTAGAATTTTTAGAGTTTGAAATATCCTGTGCAAATAATCCATCTAAATAAACATGGAGGTGCTTATGTAATCATACGTGTACAGAGGCTGCAAAGAACATTTTCATTTTATAAACACAATATTCACCTTCAAGGCTAAACAATTTACTAAGACTATTTGTTTTTAAATTGATTGATGTTTAAAAAACTGCCAGATGGAAGTTGTGCGTCGCCCTTTGAGTGGTGAAGTAATACCTTACACATACTAATTCCAAGAAAACAGCTATCTTATCTATCATCCATGTTATTAAAATTATTATTAATAGCAGTATTTGCATACTGGGTAAAGCAAATATTTGGAACAGGGCATGAATATAAGACCATTATGCCATTAGTACCATTCTCTTTTACTTCTGTGATTAAGGCTGTAAGGATTCAGAAAACCTTCTTATCAGATTTCTTGAATTCCAAAGGTTTTAGCTGTGAAAAATCAGCTCATGCAAAGAGGAATCATTAAAGAAAAGATACTATCATTTTTATTCACGTCAGTCAAAACTCACGCCAAAAGAATTTCCACTGAAATAAAAGAGATTGTTCATCAAGTCAAGCCAGTTCGGTATAAATGCAGGTGGAAGAATGATGTATGGAGTTTTTAAGCATACTCCTGCTCACTTGTTCCCAATTTACAAAATAGCCTGCATGGCCACTTCAGTTTCCAAGTCATGGCAGGATCACAGTGTTGATCCAAAAGCGCATGCCTTTACATCTGCAACTGAGATAGCATCTCTAGCAAGTGGGATCACTGCACGACTGAACATCCCTAAGACCACAGTTGAACATCCTACAGTGTTTAGGCCATAGCTAACTCCAGCCTAAGATTTTATGACCCTTCACAATCTTGCAGCAATGGTATTGCCATCCCGCTTCACTTTCACTTCCCCATGTTTGCTACATATTTTGGCAGAATCTTGTTCTAGCTGTGAGGTTACAGGAATGAATGAAGAAAAGCGGTTGGAGCAGACAGGAACATGAATCAGCAGCAGCTGAAACAGTCCATTTGACTACACTCAACCTGAGCAGCAGTGCCAAAGTCACACATCAACTTGCAAGCTTATTTAACTAGCTGTCTGTGATCCAGCTGGGTGTGTTACTGAACAAAGCTATTTTTCTCATCCATTACTGTGGTCTATAGCAATGAAGAGGAGAAAGACTGTCATAAACTAGAATGATTCAATACAAAGTTGAAGCATCCTTGCAATATATAGTCACAGATACAAATAATGATTTATAGGTTATATGCAAAGCCTAGAGCCATCAATAGCATTATAAAAACAAGTATTTGACAGTTACACAACAATTTTTCTTACCCTAGTTCAGTTCCTCTGTGATAGTTTTTGAGAGATGATCAAATATTTTCTAGCCCCAGCCCCATTCATCCCATACCAGATCCATGCCACAATAACTTTTACAATCCACTCACAATGCCTTAAACCACACATCTGTTGTTTCAAATATGCAAACTCATTACCCTGACAGGCATTTATTCTACATGTGGGCAGAAAAGCCTGAAGTCTTGACAATGCACAGAGGTAATCTGATTTTAGAACCTGACTTTGTTGGCTTATATTTATACTGGGGAACCTATCTGACACCACTAACCAATAATATCTTCCTTTAATCTCTTTTTAAAATGCCTAGGCTGCTGGAGATCATACCAAGTAATCAATCTCCAAAGAATAAAATTAAAGTAAAATATTTTGAAGAGTATGTTACAAAAAACTACAGTGATACTAGCTTTAGAATATTAAAGAAACAAAACACAGCTACAACATACCTTGAGCAGTCTCAATATAGCATTCGTACATAATACAAAGACACACAAAGTTCACTAATATTACCTGGAAGACACTTCCCAAACAGCTACAGAAAATAGCAAGACGTTGGGATACTCATTCAAAACATAAAATAGGAAATATCAAATGTGCGGAACTGCTCCATGTTGGTTTCAAAGAGCAGGGGAATTAAGTACTTTCTCCCAGTTGTAAACACGATCTTTAGAGAGCTCAGAGATTTCAGTCACATGTAGTAAAAACTGCAGTCTATGTGCAGTCTCCATCTTTCTTTTCTTCTCATCAGATATTTAAAACTCAAGACGAAATACAGGAGGAACTCAAAGTATAAAAATTATCTAAATGTGAAGAAGTAAAGAATGCCATTGGAGAAAAGTTATGGTTGGAAATCACTGGGATTGTACAAGCTATACGGACCAGCTAATCCTGGAAACTACAGAGAGCACTCAGAGGAAGAGGAAAGCTGTGTTTAACAAGAGGCCCATTAACTTCAACTTCCATGGAAGAATAATACTGAAGAGAAAATATAATTTACCTCAAGAGTGAAAGAAGCCAACAAATTGTAATTTTTTTATGTCACAAAATGTCCCTATTGTTATAATGGCACTTAATGTACCATTAGCTTCTCATATACCTGCATCTCATGTCCACCATTCATACACCATAAGTACTTATCATATCGCATTTTGTTCATTTTTTTCATTGTGCTTTTTCAAAAAACTAAACTTGAATCGTGATTTCTACAATAACATTTTTCTCTCTGGAGAGTACATTTAAAAGAATAACAGAATAAAGAGGACTGATTCTCAAATTTGCTGACACTGCTGTCGTTACTAAATGAATCAACTAATTGCATGCTGAAAAGCAAATTATAAGGAAGGTATCCAAACGCTAATATTTCTCTACCCTTTAGTGGGAATCCTTAATGTTAACTTTCTGCTACACAAACTGATTTGAAATAGCAATGGATAAAAATCATTCAAACTGATCTGGTTAGTTTCTTTTTTTTTTTTTAAAGGGTGAATTTCTGTCCTGCTTTTTTTCCTGACTCATGAAAGACGCCAGAGAGTGATGTGGATGATGTGGTGAAAGCTCTGCAAAAAACTCTACTTAAGTGAAGGGCTAGGGGAAGTGGTCACTCTGCGAGGTCATTTTCCTGTGAGACTATGTGACAGCTGGAGAAAATTAGCCAAAATATCTGCATTCCAGAGAGGTATAAAAAGAAGGAAGAAAGGGAGGGAGGGGTCAAATGTCTTGTGGAAACCTGTAGGAACAGCAGTGGCATTTTCTGCATGGACTTGCTCAATCTGGTTTCCTGAAAAAGTCCGACTGAAACAGGAGACTTTTAAAGTCTGAGAGGGTAGTCAGGCACCCAGTTTCTTTAAAAGTCAGCAGGACATTCATTAAATTTGAGATGATTAGCTGTATTGGATCAGTTCTCCAGCGCTGGTGCAGGGACCACACAGAAATCCTACTCCTAACTTTATTACCATTTAAAGATTTACAGATCAGACACGCTTCTAGAATGGAGGAGCTAGGAAGGGAGAAATAATACCATGGTAATGAGACAGATTCTTTGATTTCCATGTTCATAATTGTCAAAGAAATAGGCAGGGAATAACGCATTTTCCTTGATGAGAGTTTTGAATCCCTGATACTGTTTTTTTTGTTTTGCAGTAAAATCAAAACAAAAACATTGAAATATTTTGAAAATTAATTTGTACTGTCTTAAAAATGAAACACACAAGCTTTTATGTAAGCTAGCTGTACTTCTCCCTGATCAGACACAACCTGAGCCTGAAATCCAAATCCTGGCACAATTAGCATATTATAGTGAAACTCCTGATTCTGATAAAGCAGAATATTAATTGAAACCATACCTTCCTCCTTCTGAAAGCTTCCATTCCCTTCGATCTTCTAATCCTTTCAGACTACTCTCTGAAATAAAAGAAAAAAAACAGAAAATAAGTCTCATTGAGATGAAAAAGTTTGCTGTCATAACTTCAAACAATAGCAGGAGAAATCAGTTCATACACGAACAAAACTCTGCCCCAGCCTATCTGCAGTTCGTGCTCAGGAACTCCTTCAGCATAAATAAGAGAGACAGAAGAAATAAGGTAGGAGTCAGTAAATGACTCCCACAAGAAGAGTAAGGGTGCAGTCTAAAGTGATTCAAAAGCAAAATTAAGACTTTTTCAGACTCCCAACAATTACAGTTGAGTTTTTAAAATAGAGCGGCTGTCATTTGGGCAACTAAATGAGGACCATATTTTACAGACATTTTTCATGGGAGATTTCATATTCATTACACGAAGGATAACATAACATAATTCTAAATTAAGAAAAGTGAAATAGTCTCCAGAATGTTATAGAAGGATTTCACGGAGTCTCCAACACCTAATTCAGTAACACTATAATCTTCCCATTGCAAAATACAAGGGTATGTCTCTCATAGCTTGACCATTTCATTCCAAATCTCTTATGTGCAGATAGGACAATGTCCCTGCTCCTCCTCTAACCTGATTTTCTCTGGCAGTTTATCACTTTTGTGGAGTGAAAAGAAAATAGAATCTGATTAAGGAAGATAGATCTATTTATTTTTTTCGTAAAAATATATTTTGACTTGTCCTTTTTCTCCTCTTCTTTTTCCTTCGGATAATAAATAACTGTGAAGGAAGAAAAAGTTCCAAAAAGAAAAAGAGAGATGTGAAAATTTGCACTGCTAACACCATTTAGTGTTAACCCTACAGTGTACTGCTTTGGGATCTGGTATAGATATTTTCCAGGTAGTTCAAAAAAAGCCCCGCTTAGAGAGAAGATAATGGATTAAATAAGCGTAAGGTGCTCCAAAATCACATCTAAACTTCAAGTTAAACAAAATTAACTGTTGGATATAAAGCATGTTGCATTAACTTCCTTTTTAAAGAAGGTATTTTATTCTTGCACTTCTGTTTTATTTTTTAAATGAACCAGAAGCAGAAGTTTGAAATGTCATGTGAAATTTTGTTCTCATGAGGCTGCTGCTTGAGTTTTACCTCAGCAGGATTTAGAGAACTTCAGAAACTTTAGATAATCTGCTTAGCTTGTTATCTGAACCAAAATGCTGAACCTCTTTTAAGAAGTACTCATATTCCTATCTTTACTAGACACCTTTTGTTCTTTTTTTTTAAAAATCCATCACTGCCTTTGGGCCATCATAAAACTTTTCCCCACACTGGGTATTTTTCTTGACCTGGTCATGACTGCTTATCTCTGCCATGAGTGCCAAGTTCACCAGCATAGCTTTCCTGCGTACTCTGATCATTTATTGGTGTTCATAAGGAAGGAAAAGGAAAACAATTCATGAGAAACCTTCCATATTTCTGTCTCATTATTTTTATTGAGGTTAATTTGCTTAATTTTTAAAAGGTAAATATGGGAATATATCTATTGACATACTATTATCTGTGGTTGTTTATATATGGAGGACAAATCCTTTCCTTCACCCAAAGCCAAAACAAACAGATCTTGTACAGACAAGTCCTGAATTGATTGAGAGTGATGGACGCCTCGCCACAGGCTGCAGAGCTGTTCCCCACCTATTTAGTGCACTGGAGGTATGCTCTTCTGCAAAGACACTGTTTCACTTCAAACCTGCAGTGAATTGCTTTCAGCCTTGATTGGAGCACTTTCAGGTTAGCAACATTTTTGTTTTTACACTCTTTCTTAGAAGAAAGACGTGACTTATTCTCATACCAAGATATTTGGTCTGTTTACCTACCCTGACTTTCAGACTTCTAACTGTGAAAGTACCACAAGAAGACGGATAATTTTGCCTCATAAATTTGCTTCAAGAAGATGTTTTCAAATCTGCCAACTTTAAACAGCAAATGATGTATGCAAAAGCCCTTCACAAGTTTTTGAATTTATGGATATTTACAAGCACAACACTATGCGAGATTATTACAAACAATGAAGAAAACCCCACAAAATTATTCACTAACCATTTTCCTGATTCTTCACAGAATTCTGTGTTTGAAGATATACAAAGAAAAGTCATTTGTAAAAAATCAACTATACATCCCCAAATTGGTCATTCAGTGTTCTGCTGAGTGAATAAACACTTGATGATATCAAATTAATAACCAAATATACTACTGTGAGCATATGTATCTGATAGAATAATAGACTGATGTTGAAGCTCTGAGGATCTGTGAACTGTAGTGTCTACAGTACCGATGAAAACTAAACCAAATGTTCATTAAAAGTTACTAATATTTACCATTCTGGGTGACCTACAGTATTTGCTTTCAGTCAAGAGCTTCCCTCATCAGAAACCTATTTGTCCTGTATTATCATTTAAAGAAGGGTCAACAATCCTTTGAATTATTTTCCGCTACCAGGAAGGTGATTAGGTTATGATTATTTTTGTTCCATGGATCAATCTCCAATGCCTTGCATACAGAGACTTAAAGTGCTACCATTAGCAATTTGCACCCACTTGCTGTCCATAAATGACTTTCAAGGTTCAGGGCAGTGGAGTGTAAAACTGCTGACTTAACTGCTGGAGCACTGAAGAAGAGAAGAAACTGGATGAGACAGAGCAAGTCCTAAATGCCTTCCATAATTAACAAACATGGCAAGACAAGTTACGGAAAACAAAGGGACTAGACAGATTTATGCTTATAGTCTGGTACTTCTGAAAGTTTGTCCAACTACAAAATCCTCTTTTGATCTACATTAATTGAAAGCACTTAAAATTCAATCGTACATTTATGGCCACATGTTTAAAACTGAATCCTAATCTTGCATTTGTAACCTACTGGTCAGACTGGAATGCTTCCCTTCTGCATCCAGCTTACCAAGGTTACAAATCTAATGATTGTCTTTAGTTTCAGCTGTAGAGTTTCATACTTGTGGCTTTGAAGGTCCCTATATTTAATCCTAAATTGTATCCACAACGATAGTGGTCAGAAATCTCCAGTAGCTTCTGACAACAAACCCCTGAGGAAGCAGTAAGCCATTTGCAGATAAACACACTTGTTCTGGTTTAGTTTCTTAATGCAATAAGAGAACATGACTCATTGAATCATACAATCCTTAGAGTTGGAAGGGACCTCTGAGGGCCACCTAGTCCAACTCCTGTTCAATCCCATATGATGCAGTGGCTGGTGAGGTGCCCCAACGTGGAGACAGCAGTCTCTGTGTTTTTGTTCACAGGTAGGAGAACAATGAAAAAGAGCTAGCAGCCCTAAGTAAGCAAAATCAAACCACTGTGCAAACCATTGTGAAGGGATACAGTAAACTTCTTTTTTAATCAGATATGGGAGAAAGGAAGAACAGGTATGCCAAAGAGCTGCATTTCGTCCCAAGGTCATTCTCAGATTAAAAGCTGCAAGGTAAACATTATGTACTTCTAGGCAATGGGACTCCATCTGATGTTACAGGAACTAGCAAATCGAGAACTGTTTTCCTGAATCCCCTAATATGCACCAACAGCAGCACTGAAAACTCTCATTAGTTGCAACGTTTGTGTATACTATGGTCCAATTCATAGACCTCCCTAAGCACCTCCCTAAGCTCCAAAAGGTAAGAAATTCTACTTGAATATTTCATGATGTTATGTATGGGGAAGAGCTCTGTTAAAGAGCTGACACTATTTTCCTGTCTTGGCTAATAGTTTCTGTGACATGTGTAAGGGAGACCAGATATTTGTGCCCATTATATGTAAGGATTTTTTGCCCAAGGACAACTTGTAAAACCCATTAATATGAATTGTGTTTGAGCTGACGGGGAAAAATAGAAAACACTGAGTCCAGACCTTCAGTACTTTACTGGTGTTTCTGAACTTTTATTAGCTGTACTTGCTTCCATAAAATCTATTTAATAAGGCAACCGATGTTTTGGTAATGCATCAAAAGCAGTTCTCTTCAAAGGGCATCTTTTTCACTCAATCTCTTCTCTAAAGACAGTGACATTAGTTTTGTAAATTAATAAACAGGCCAGCATCTGAGGACTGCATGAAGCCTCCATCACCCCTCATTGTGCTTTCTCTTCTGACCCCACTTTCCAGTGCAGGGCCCTCATCTCAACAACAATACCCTGAAAGCCTGTGTGGCACTCTGGGATCACACTTGAAAAGGCCTTTGGCTGAGGCTGGCTTTCAAGAAGAGGGGACAATTGGCAAGAGGCCTGTGGCTATTCATGCAGAACAGGCAGTGAAAAATGCCTGAAGTCAGTTTCAGGGGTGGGCAATGCCCAAAAAAGAAAGCCCACATAACATGAATGGCTGCTGCTAGGAGACTAAAACCAAAGGCATGCTACTAGCAGGCCTCCATGTGCCGACATCAATGGGTTCATCCTATCCCTATTAGGGGCCTAAAATGATGAAGAAACATGAGAAGGGACTATAAGCAGGGAAGGAAAATAATACCAAAGTACACAACGGTCAATGCTTATATTGTTATACTAAACGCTCAGGAGAAGGAAATAATATTTTCTACATTCACTACCTTTTCTGTTAACAATAGTTACATCAGCTACAAAATCCAATAAGCAAAATAACTGTGGTACATTTTCTCGGGGGAGGAAAGCTATGCACTTTCTTGATTAATTATTTCTCGTGCACATAATTAAGAGTGATTTCAAACACATATTAGAAAAGCCAAGGCAGCATTGCAATGGTTCTGGACCTGGTGCTGGAGCAGTTCCAGTGCCCCTGGATGTGCATGCAAGGTCCACTTGCTTCAATCCCAGCAGTACAGGTCAGAGGGAGATGGGAGGTCTAATGGCTTATAACTGAAACCACCATCATGCGCCACAAAAGCATTTCAGTGGCATACAAATGACCCAGACCTGCTCAGTGTTATTGAGCCCGCGTGTGCTGTCTGCAGTATGGATCCAATGTGGTGAAAGGTCTACAGGCCTGAAAATTAACTGTGAAGAATTTTCCTCACCTACG